GGGTTACCAGCTGTTGTTTTCAGATGATGGGATGTTCTCCCTGCCAGGTTTCAGGCACTTCACGTCTGTCTGTCTGTGTGTGTTTGTGTTTGTGTTGAAGGGATGCGTCAGGGCAACGACATCGGGACGACGTACCGCTCCGCCATCTACACCCTGAGCCAGCAGCAGCTGGAGGAGGCGCTGGCCTCCAGAGATGACTTCCAGAAGGTATGTGAGTTGGCGTTCTGTGGTCCGCACTCCCCCTCTTCAACCTCCTTCTTTTTCTTCACCCGTACTGTGTAATTGAACGATTTCCCAGCATTCCTCTGTGCTCTGCATCCACTGCGGATGAAAGGAGAGTCGTTGTCCTTCTGTGAAACCTTCACTGTCTTACTGTAACCATCTGACCGGAGTCCACACGCTAGTCTTTAACCATTAGGTTCTGGTTCCCGTGTGGACAATAACCAGTCCTGACAAGGTCAGTGTTAACACAAATGGTCCCAGAGAGGTGACAAAAACAGGTCCACACACACACACACACTCTGTCACATAAAAGATGTTCTCACACACTCTCCCTCTCTCACTCCTGCTGAGACTTCTGCACCACCATCCCACCAACGGGGCTTGTTGCCATGGAAACTGAAGGGGAAGAGGTTACTGTGTTCGACTGTTTTTTTTTTTCCTTTTTCCCTTCTATTCTGGTGAAGTATGGTCTTTGTGTTCTCTCTCTCTCTCTCTCTCTCGCTCTCTCACCCTGTTTCTCACACTCGTTAGCATCTCTTAGTTAGCCTGGTCCCTCTGTGGTTCCTGAGCCTGGTTCTGTGTAGAACATACAGTATCTGTGTCAGTAAATGGATGGCTTATAGGTTGAACTGTGCTTCATGCGCCCTCTGCTGGAGCACTCCGACCTTCCTACTCTGTCATGGTTCCCGGTGACGAGTCGTTTGGTTCTCTGTGAATGAACGTTAAATAAAAAGAGTCAGAACTACCAGCTTTGTTTTTATACGTTGGTAAAGAAGGTGAAACATCTGCCTGTAGAGAAGCAGCAGTTGGTGCTGTTTGTTTTTACTGCAGAGGCCTGTGGACACGGTGTGTGTGTGAGAGTGTGTGTGTGTCTTTATTAAAAGGCAGATGCTTTCATCCCTGATGGTCAGAGATGGACAGATGCTCAAAACACTTTCTATTAAACCATCAACAGTAGCTCAAAACACTTTCTATTAAACCATCAGCAGTAGAAGGATGGATGATGTATGGATGATGGATGGATGGATGGATGATGGATGGATGGATTGATGATGGATGGATGATGGTTGGATGAATGGATGATAGATGGATGGATGATGGATGGATGGATGATGGATGGAGGATGGATGGATGGATGGATGGACGGATGATGGATGGATGGATGGATGGATTGATGATGGATGGTTGATGGATGGATGATGGATGGATGGAGCTCTTTTCATCTAAAACCTCTCTAGGTTTTGTTGCCTCTCACATTTTTTGTCCACACCAGATTGCCTCCCCCTCCCGCTCCCATCTGTGTGTGTGTGTGTGTGTGTGTGTGTGTGTGTGTGTGTGAGCAGTTGGCCTATAGCAAACACACTCCATGCCAAACCATCTGGGCCTTAAATCTGTCCTCCACCAAAATCGCTTTACTTGCAAAAGTAACACACAAACACACACACACACACACACACACACACACGTTATGTTTTGGCTCATGTCTTCATCGTCAACTCTGTACGTGTTCTGCCTTTTATCTGTATCTCATTTCTAGTTCTTCTCAAACATGAACATTCGTGTGACCTGACAAGAAAATAGTCTTTTCTTACAGGGCACTCAACACTGCCCCCTACCAGCTGTATATATGAACTTAAACCTCTGTTAACATTCTGACTATGGAGAGAGGGAAGTCTGACAGATGATGTACTGCTGTGTAGTACTGTGATACTGGTACTGCTGTGTAGTACTGAGATACTGGTACTGCTGTGTAGTACTGTGGTACTGGTACTGCTGTGTAGTACTGCTGTGTAGTACTGTGGTGTAGTACTGTGGTGTAGTACTGTGGTGTATTTTATTTCAGTTTTCCTTGAAGGACGATGACGATTTGTTTACAAAGTAATGCTGCTGCGCTCTCTGTCTGTCTCTCTGTCTGTCTGTCTATCTATCTATCTGTCTGTCTATCTATCTATCTATCTATCTATCTATTTGTATATCTGTCTATCTATCTATCTGTCTGTCTATCTATCTATCTATCTATCTATTTGTATATCTGTCTATCTATCTATCTGTCTGTCTATCTATCTATCTGTCTGTCTGTCCATCTGTCCGTCTGCCCATCTGTTTCTCTGTCTGTCCATCTGGCCGTCTGTCCATCTGTCCGTCTGCCCATCTGTTTCTCTGTCTGTCCATCCGTCCGTCTTTCCAGCTGTCTCTCTTTCTGTCTCTCTGTCTGTCTGTCTCTCTGGCCGTCTGTCTGTCTGTCAGTCTGTCTGTCAGTGCCTCTGTGCCTGTGCACCTGCAGGTCAAGTAAATACCCTGTTAGAGTACACACAGTACTTTATTCACTAGTGTTAGACTGTATAATAACAAATAAGAACAGTACCACACCTGACCACAGGGAGGGGCCCTGGGAGCACCTGCGTCAGACACTGTGCTCCTCATTAACGTCACCTCCCACCTCCCCCACGGCCGTCTCACCCTCTCTGCTGCACCAACCGACCGTCGTGACTGTGGACGGAGCAGGAGGAGCAGGAGGAGGAGGAGGAGGAGGTTGATGAAGGCTGAAGGAGAAGGTGGAGGACGCAGTGTTTAATTCACTGTCAGGGTATCGACCCCACCACCTGCCCTCATGGTATTGTTCCCTCTGAGAGAGTGATGGAGGAAATTTGTCGAGTGTGTGTGTGTGTGTGTGTGTGTGTGTGTGAAAGTAGAGCAGCACTGCAGATAATTACCTTGCAGGCGCCTGACGGTTGTCTGCAGCATGAAAGGAGCCTCCCTTCTCTCCTCCCTTCTCTCCTCCCTTCTCTCCTCCTGCCTCCTACCCATCATTAGGGTGTGCACTGCATCTGAAACGGCAGATGGAAGTGGAAGTGTGTGTGTGTGTGTGTGTGTGTCTCCTTTATGTAATAGCCTGTGCTCCTCAGTGGGAGCAGGCACGGCTGCTAAAACAGAGTGTACTCATTGTTCTGGCATCACTCTCTTTTACTCCTCCTCCTCCTCCTCCTCCTCCTCCTGAAACACCTCTCCTGCTTCATTTTCACCTCCTGAATGTTCACGTTTCTCCTCCTGAACACCAAACACCTGCCCCCCCCTCTCTCCCTCCCACCTCCTCCTCCTGTTTCCCCCCTTCTTCCTGTCTTTATTCTTTGTTTGTCAAATCACCTCCGCGCCTCTTTCAACATGGACGACTCATTTTCTTATCAGCGTGCTCCACGTTTTCCCTGGGCTTTTGCTGAGCAGTGCAAGAATTTGCATTCCAAATGAACATCCACTTGATGTAAATGAAGGGATGTGAATGATGCTCACACAGCAGGATGTTGGAGGATGCCATTACACCAGCGTCGTGGAGAACGCAGCCATTTTAGGCTGTGGCACTGAGGGGGAAAACATAAAGCACGTGTCCCAGGTCTGGGCCGGACTATATCTGGTCAGACGTATGGATTTAGTCTATATAAATACAGAGGGCGTGTGGTTCCACCTGTTCCCCTGCAGGTGGTGATATACACACATGATAAAACCTTTTACATCATGAGTTTCACTCAAAGAGTTCTGTCTGCAGGAAGAAGTTCAGGAACCACAGAGAATCTAATTCACAACAAAGGTAAGGTGTGTAACTCTGTCCACTGGACCACAGTGCTGCACTTTGTGGATTGGCTGGAATGTTTGGGTGAATATAGCATGAAGCACCAGTGCATTGTGGGACGGGACTCCAAGTTGTTTTATATTTAAATGTTTATTAGAGTTCTCCCTCTTCCCCTCACTCAGCTCACCTCACTCACAGCTCTTTGTGCTACATTTCTGCCACCTAGTGGGTAATATATTTTCAGCCACTAACTGCAGCTGGAGGCTGGAGCGTGGATCCAGTCTGCGCTCTGACCTGAGTTCTCGGCCCGTTCGTGTCAGTTCAGACTCTGTACGTCTGGTACTTGTGTGCAGACTGTGACCAGACAGTGAACCAGGTGTTGGTGGGTCCTTGGTCTGGAGAACCTTTCAGCCCGGCAGCGTCACTGTCTGGAGCAGAACGCCTCTGAACCACCGTGTGGTTTTCTTTCTGCCTATCTTTTTTGTGCACATTTGAATAGAATGGAAACCTTGGGTTTGTGGGTAATGGCAGACATTTGAGTGGTGATGAAAAGAGAAGGAGAAGAAAGAGGAGAAAGAGCCGCTGGAGCAGGAGCAGCAGGTTGAAAGGCTCCTACACAGTAATGAGCTCCTCACACAAACCACTCCTATTGTTTAGGAGGTGCAGACGTTTACAAGGCTGTGGAGGAAGAAAGAAAAAAATGTGTCTCAAATGTATAAAATACATTTATAAAAGGTTTAAGAATGGATGGAAGGACAAGACGTTTTCATGTCTGCCTCAGAGGTGAATGAGACGGTCTGGTCCACCAAACATCTGAGGTTCAACTCACTCTTCAGGAACTTTTCTAAAACTTGAAATTCTTTTTATCAACTTTCTCTGGAATCCACACACGGTTTACATAGGAGTGAAGGCAACGTACAGACCTGTATAGAAGAGCAGCTGTGGGCACCACACCAACTGGTACACATCCCACATGGAGTAGAACCTCCTGTGGGGATCAGCAGTAAAATCAAACCTGTGTTTATTTTTAGAAGAAAAGAACTGAGCTCAAACAGCCAGCAGTCGTTTCACACGTCTGTGCCTCTAATAACAACAGTTAATTACTACAAGAAACTAAACTGACTAAACCTCACTGACGTAGGTCAGTGGAGGAGGAGGAGCGAAGAATGTCTCTCCTATTTGTTTGATATTTTTTATCCTGATCTGGAATTGTACCCACAACACTTTGGCTGTTAGCTCACTAGCTGGTTCAGCTAGGCGTTTATTTCTCCGTTCCCTCCTCCCTCCAGGTTCTGACGGGGGAGGGCTACGGTCCCATCACCACGGAGATCACGGAGGCCAAGCCTTTCTACTACGCAGAGGATTACCACCAGCAGTACCTCCACAAGAACCCCGATGGGTACTGTGGCCTGAAAGGCACGGGAGTCTCCTGTCCAATGGGATTGAAGAAGAGTGTGTAGTTCAGCACCAGCAGGCGAGGGACAGCTCCTCTGGTCAGTGGACTTCAGGGGTTGGACTGGGACACTGGTGCTGGATCTGGTTCTGGGGTTTATTTTTAAAGATGCACATTATTTTTATGTAACACTTCCCACTCTCTCTCTCTCTCTCTCTCTCTCTCTCTCAACATTTTTATATTAGCTTTTGTTTTAAACCTGTGTTTGTGGTCAGGTGTGGAGTTTGAAGTGTTTTCCTGGGAAGTGTCTCCACCTTGTGGCGTATAGCCAAACAGCAGCGTTGATAAAAATAGAGCTGTTAGCTGTTAACTGATAGCAAATAAAATCAAAGTACTAAAATAATAGCCAGTCCTGAGGAGTTTAAAACTACCTGTGTCGAGTACTTGCAAGTATTCACACCAACAGGGAGTGGGTTTTATTTATTTAAAGTTATATTCTGTGTGATGTTGATTTGATTAAATATTTCATCAGGTTTGTGATGTTGGAACTCAGGGGATTTAATCAAAGGATATAAAAACAATAATGTGTGAGTGTTTTGTGTTTTTTGTTTACTTATTATTATTATAATAATTATTATTATTAGTTTGTCTGGAGGCTTTAAATCTTTCAGTTCTATTTATTATTTATTTATCAGTGAGTCAGGTTTGACTGAGTCATGTATCACAGACCTACAGAGATACTGAACATGTGTCCAGTCCAGTAGACCATGAAATCTGGAGAACATTGACCGACTGTGAGGAGGATCAACATAAATCTTCACAGTTTTCCATCTTAAATACTTAAATACTTAAAAATAATCTTCATTACAAAATATGACAAAACTGCAGTAAACACTGCATTAAGACACAGTAGGTGTCTGTGTCACAGACTGGTCCTCGCCCCAGGGTTTGACCATTTTATATAAAACAGTTTTTAGACAATAATCACATCAAACACCTCCAATCCGTCTTCCTTTAAAAGCTGCGTTCTGTGCCCGTAGCTGCCTACGGTGCAACTGTTTAGTTAGGCTGCCACCCTGCGATTATTATGTGGAGTTACACCCAAACGTCACAATTTCCTGTTTTATCAAAACGTTTTTATCCGTGTTTTATTTTTAACAAAAAGAAAACATTTTAAAGCCATTTTTATAAAAAAAACTTAAATAAAACTGTTATTTTTGTGAATTATATATCCATCCATTTTATCCATTATATTCGTCTATATTAACCGTTAAGATTGTACTAAAAACTTTATTTCAAAAACGTTTTAGGATTCACAAAACAAACGAAAAAAAATGTCATACATTTGAAATAAAAAAAGTTTATAAAATGTATAGATACGGTATTTCTGACATTGAAATATGTTTAAAATTATAATTTCTTACACGATTTGTTAGAAATGTTAGATTCTTGTCTGCCTCAACTAATTAGATACGTGACACAAATTAATGACGGAACGGAAATGACGTACAAACAGAGTAAGTAAAATCACTCCGCTCGCTGTCGCCTGGAACAAAAAGTAAGTTCTTATTATGTTCTGTAAACAAAAATAATACTGTTCTATTGTGCGTAGAAACTACGTGTATACATATATTTAAACATATATATATATATATGTATTACATATGAACAGAAATGTTTCCACTCTGGCTGCAGTTTGACAACCGTTTAAATGTTATAAACAGAAACGCAAACAACTTCGACATCCCAACACTACCAGTTTATATTATCTGTCCCTGTGTGACGCATTTACTTCTGTGGTTTGACTTTTCCTGTTTTTTTTTTTTTTTTAGTTTTTTGGAAGTTGCACTCGGCTTTCTACTTTCTTCTTATTCCTTCCTTATAATCAGTTATTGTGTGTAGACCAGTAATACTTTGACTTTTCCTAGTACTTTTGCTCCCAGCCGATGGTAAATGATTGTGGTCCTGACTGGACCTTTGTGACCGGTCACTGTAGTGATGATGACTGATTGACTACTACAGTACACAGGTCCAGACCAGAGACTGTCTCGTCCGTCACTGCTCTGACTTTTGTTCTGTTCAGTTTTTTTTCTCTCCAATCAACCGAACACGACTGTCGTTGAGTCACTGTTTTTTACGAACGACATCAAAAAGTCCAGGCAGAAAGAAAACGTCAAACGTCGAACCTATTTGGTGAAAAGGACAAAGATCAGTGTCAGTGATCTGCTCTGTTTCCCTGTGGTCTGACCGACTGTGCGAGCACACGTCGCACCTTCCTGTAAACTGCAAAGCCGACCAGTGACTTAAAGACTTAGAAATATTGTTTGCTTTGTTGTTTGACTGTTTCCTGTCTTTTTCTGACATTTTGTGCGGAATTGTAGCCACTTGTTTATTAATTGTTGGCTTTAAGAAGAGCAAAACATTTGAATCACAGCTGTAATTATTCCAAACACCAACGTTGTCTGTCTTCTCTGTCCTGATGGACAGGTGACACAGCACCAGTCTTGTAATGCCCTTAGTTTTAGTTAAATATGACAAAAATACGACCATTATTATTATTATTATTATTATTATTATTATTATTATTATTATTATTATTATTATTATTATTATTACTGCACCTGAAGGTATTTTCCACAGGACGGTCTGAGATTCTCTGACAACAAATGGCCTGTAACAACCTGTGGTTCACCTTTAACTGTGGCAGAAACACGTGCAGTCTGTAGCACCACTGGAACCATGTCCTGAAAGAACCATCTCCTGAAAGAACCATGTCCTGAAAGAACGTTGTCCTGAAAGAACGTCCTTTGCTGCGTTGCTTCTCAACAGTTAATTCAAAAAACACTGAAATTCAAAAGGTTCGTTTTCACGACTGTGGCGTCCTCTCCCAGAGGCAGTGACATCAGTGCCATGTGGAATCCATCCATCGATAGACCACACTGTGCCAGAAGAGTCCAGCAGGGGGCAGGCTATTAGCTGTCCGAACCTGAGAAAACTGCTCAAAAATGAGCAGATCTGGTCTGTGATTGGCTCTTGCATTAACTGTCAATAATGTCTTGACTGAAAATTCAGCTGGTTTGTTTTTCCAATTGGTTTCAGTGGAAACTCTTAGCCCCTGCTGGCCAACTGTAGTAACGACACTAGAGGGAGATTCTCTGTTTCTTCAGACCATGACAAGATGGCAGGTTACTTTTGTAACATCGGGATCGCCACAATCCTTCCCCCAGAGGTTGTTGATATTGTTGTTGTGGTGGTGGTGACCCCTGGTGGACCAAAGTTGCACATCTGCAGTTTCTTCTGGATGAACTTTGGGCAGAAGGTGGCGACGTAGGCATCTTTGAACCCCGAGTTGCAGAAGCAGTAGACCAACGGGTCCAGCAGGCAGTCGCTGTACGACAGGACCATGAGGCTGTCGTAGACCTGGACCACGATGTCCTCCGCCTGCTGCCACTCCTTCAGCCTCACCGCAATCAACACGGCACGGGCAAAGGTGCTGGGCAGGAAGCAGATGGAGAAGACCACCACAACGGACAGGACCACCCACACCGCTCGCCTCAGTTTGACCTTTTCCCCAACCGTCTTCTTCCTCAGCCGGTTGACGATACGGAAGGTGCAGAAGACGAGGATGATGAAAGGGAAGATGATCTGGCCGAAGAAGACGATCTAGAAGAAACAAAGACGACAGGATTAGCATCAAGGTTGAGTCGCGGAGTCAGGTGACCAACAACACAGAAACTGAAGAACTCAAGATGTTCCTCCAACTAAACAGTACCCAAACAGTACCTCTCTGAAGGTATCCGTTATGTCGTGGGTCGGCGTCTCCACCTTTCGTCCGTGGCTGTTGCAGCACTCGAACGTCGTCACCATGGTGGGGATGGTGAGGGGCAGCAGCAGGACCCAGATGATGATGGAGATCTGGGGCGACTTCTTCAAGTTCTTGACAATGTTCCTTCTGCCGAGGTGGACCACGTTGAAGTACCGGTCCAGGGACAGGGTGATGAGGAAAGCGATGCTGGCTCCTCGGTTGAGGAACAGCATGAAGAGTAGCGTCTTACATACGGCCTTGTTGGAGCTGCGCCGCTCGCCGAGCTGGTAATGATAGGCCTTGGCAGGAAGGCAGGCCACCAACAGGAAGTCGGCCACCACGATATTGAAGAGGAAGATGCTTTTGTTCTTCCAGAACTTGAATCTAAAGAGGAAGAAAAAAGAAGAACTTAAGATGGTTCTGACCCCAACCCAAACCACAACTTTATCCTCATCTAGAAACCTCACAACACGTGTTTGTCTCAAATGCACTCGTGCATCAGTCGGACATCGATGGATATTCGGACGTCGTCTTCATATTCAGTTTATATCATCAGCGTAACGTCAGAGTGGAAAAACCCGAGGAGCGAGTTTCCAAAGTAAACGTTGCTGCTCGGCGTGAAGCCCCTCTTTGATCCTGTACAGATTATCAGGAGACCACGGAGTTCAAGTTCTCAGAGAAGAGAAGTTTCCAGAGAAGTTCCCGTCACCGTAGACGGACTCTGTTTATAATGAAGTGTTTCTGCAGCAAAGACAGTTGTTAAAATGGTATTTTCACAGCGTGCTGCTCCACATCCTCTGTTTGTGTGGAGGCAACTTTTCTGGGAAATATAAAAACACAAATGAAATATATATAAATATATATATGTTTCATTTGTATGATTTATATATATATATGTATGTTTGTATATATATATATATATACATATATTTCATTTGTGATGTTGTTGGTCCTACTGTATGATCAGAGAGATCATAACAGTCTGTGGTTTGGCTGCAGATCGGAACAGAAGCGGGCCAGGAACGGAGCCTCGATGACAACATGATCTGAACCAATCAGGCGGCGGACCAGAACGGCTGACTCATTTCTCCTCCTGTCTGCAGGTCAGTGCTTTACACCGTTGTCCTTCTCATCAAACACTTGTGTCGAGAAGCTGTGTGTAGATTAACGTGCTGTGGTCAGTGGTGTGAATCCACCGTGACACGGGTTAGGGTTGAACTGTCTGACTGGCTGACGGAGGGTCATGTGACAGAGACCAGGTGGAGGAGCAGGCCTCTGAAGTCTCTCTCCAACTTTATATAAATATGTATATATATACAGTAAATTATGATTCAGCCTGTAGGGGGCAGCAGTGAATCTCCCGTGTGCAGGGATCTGAATCACTGATGTAAACAGTTTTTATTTGGGGATTTTTATATTTATTTCCCGTCATGTTCTGGCAGCCATGTTTTGAAACCCTGGCTCCAGGCCCGACTGTTGGTCTAAACTTTATACAAACATGGTCCGTGAAATGTGAAGTGGAATTCTTCAGGGTTTAACAACGCAGACAGGTGTGAGACGGTTAAAGTCCAGTCGTTGGCTCGCTCCATCCAAACTGTCGACAGCGACGTGTAATCAACAGACAGCAGTCCGACCGTGGACCGACTGGACTGAATCGTCTCCTACGTGAGTGTTGGTGTCCAGGAGACCGAGGGTCAACACAGATCTGTGGACTTCCAGAGAAGCCAGATCCAAACAGGATGTTAGGAAGTTCTGCTCAGTTCTGAAGGTCTAATCTAAACACATCAGGCCGCGTTGCTCAATAGTTGTTGGACTGGAACCCACAACTGACTCCTCAGTGCAGCTCATATGAAGTTCAACATAAATTTAAATCACAGACTGAAACTATTTTACCTACTTTGGTTTAATGTTTTGATTAAATAGAAAAAAAATCAATAACATTTATATATAAGACCAATGCTATCACAAGTTATAACAGTTTTTTAATGAATGATGGTCTTTAACTATAACTGAATAGAAATATTTGACTAAAAACTAAAACATGATTAAAAACTTTAATAAAGGACATTTTATTTTACCATTTAAAGTTTTTTTTATGTTTTTAATGTAAAATTATAATAATTCTGCATGTTATATTTATTTATATTGTCTGCAATCCAGGAATGTTTTTTTTGATTCATTTCTTTTTTGTGGTTTGGACTAAACAAAAACATTTGAAAATCTTTTAATTCTTGCACAATCTTTTTTGCAGCAAACTTTTTTTATGTTGCATTTTTTTTTTATAGAAAATGTTACAAAAGAGATTTAGAAAACAAATAGTTCTGGTTCTACTAGAACAGCAGCGGTCTGAGGAGGTCAGAGTGAAAGTCCAACCAACAACAGAAGAAGAGTGAAGAATCATTAACAGGCAGGAAGTGGGATTAAAGTTTAGGATTAGGTTTTAAAGGAACACTGCCGTGTTTTTTTTCCTACCTGAAGATGAAGATGTAGAGCACGGACAGGTTGAGAGGCAGCCCCAGGACAAACTCCACGATCATCAACCAGGACAGCGCCTGGTAGGTGACCTGACTGGTCACATGGCAGTGGTCGATGGTATAATTGACCGACATATTCATCTGGTTGTCCATGACGACTGCTCTACCAGAAGATGAAGATGAAGAGAAGCAGATGATTGGAGGTCTTACCAGGCCGTGGAACCATCACCTCCTCAGACCGACGTCTCAGTCCTCGGACCTGGAGAACGGACTCTTCTCCCCCTGACTGTCAGAAAATCTGGAACGTTGTCAACACATGTGCTGAGAAGGAGGGGGGAGGGGGCACCGGGTCTCGGAGTGTGTGCGTGTGTGTTTGTGTGTGTGTGTGTGAGTCTAGTGAGAAGCTGCCTCTGATTCTCCACAGAGTGAGAACTTATACTGAGCTGGAGGTGTGGTCTGTGTGTGTGTGTGTGTGGGGGGGGTTCGTCTGACTGTGAAGTTCAGTGTGAAAATGCTGCTTTCAGTTAACTGCCCCCTCCCTCAGTGGATGGTGGGGGTCTGGCCCCCCGTCAGGATATGTCATAAGGAAAGTTAAAACAGGATTACTCATTACTTATCTCTCGGTCTCACCCTCCGACTGGAAACTGGCAGAAAGAGGTGTTTTCCTTGAGAACAGTCAGGTTGTGAAATTCCTCAGGTTGCTGTTCGTCCGACGGCTCGTCCTGTCAGCACACGCTCAGAGATTCAAGCGCAGCAAAATATCTTTACTCCCAGGTCTCCTGTTTCCTACACAGTCATTAGACAGAAATAAATATAAAGTTCAAACAAGTTAGAGTTGAAGACTGGTTCCTACAAACAGTTCTGCTTTTTTATTGGATTGGACAAATGTAAAAAAGTCACGCGTCACATTTTAGAGCCTTTTACATTGTTCTCTAATGGGTGCAGTACCAGTTTTGGCCACAGGTGGCTACATATTTTTAACTCTCAGATTTACGCTTGGCCCCAGTTCCAATAATCCGATGGTTATCACTGCTCTCATTATCGCCATGTTTTTATCACAGTCGACTTTTCTGCAGAACCTGTGGTGAGATAACCACCACTGGGTGGCGTGTTGGCAAGCTTGTTCATGTTGATTGAACCTTTTCCTCTGATGGAGTTCTTAACTTTTAAAATGGAAACTAAGTAAGAGCACGTTGTTCTTCTCTGAACGAGAGTTAAACCCTGACTTCAGGAGACGCCAGGAGAATTTGTGTGGTGAACTGAAGACCGTGGTTCCTGCCAGACCACCATCAAATCTGGAGGAACCTGAGATCCACCAGAGAAGAACCCTGGGGTTCCTCAGCTGAGCCGACTGACACTAGATGAGATCATAAGGAACGGATCCTCGAAACACCACCAAATACCTGGAGAGCTGATGAAACTGAAGTTCTTAACGCAGCCCGTGTCTCAACCCGTGTCTCAACTCGTGTCTCAACTCGTGTCTCAACTCGTTGCGTTGTCTGTTCCGAGTCTCGTCACAATCATTGCGACCACTCGTGTGTTTACCTTAAACCACAGGTTTAGAAACGTTTCCGTTAATGCTGTGCTGAAAACACTGACCGATGAGCGAGCACCACAGAGGGAGGTCAGTCAGTCAGAAAGTTCTAAGACAGACAGTCTGCACCTGACCTTTGACATCAGGCCACGACCTGTGCGTGTGTCTGTGAACCCCATCAGAACCATGTGTGTCCACTGGGGGCAGCTGAGAAGGAAGTGCACACAGACTAATGCCAATGATAAGAACACACTGTGGTGAAGGGCAGTGAAAAGAGGAATGAGCTGAGCGTGAGAACGTGGAACCCTTCAGATCGTTCTCATCCTTTTTTTTTCTTTTCTTTTTCTATTAACGGCTAATCTAAAGTTTTTAGATCTTTTTTTTTTCATTTCTGTGCATTTGAGCAACTGTCTGTGATGAAAGTGACTGCTTCTTTAGAATAAGGAACAACGTTGTTGCTGTTTTGTGACTACCCTTAAGCTACGTTGCTACATCTCAGCTAACTTTCTTTACGGCTTATCTGACGATAGCCTTTCTTGTGAATTGTTTTGGATTGACCTTCTGTGCTAACAAACCGTTAGAGTTCGGCTAACATTCAGCCATTTCCACACTTTCCTTCTGGCTAACAGTTAGAAGCTTTAGTTGATATCTCCGTGTTGTTGTGTTATTGTGTGACAGTTGTATATTTACTTCATGTCTGAACATGTTGCTGACGTTCACTGAAGCTCAGAATCATGATTTTTTTTTAAATAATTTTTTTAATTTAAGATACGTGCCTTTTAGTGTGTTTTCATCAGATTAGGTTGAGAAGAGGATTATAATCCACCGTCACATCTGTGATTTGTTTTGAAGGTTTCCTGTGGTCCTCTCCACTCTGTCACAGTCACTGATCGATATCACCACAGGAAACAGATAAGAAAGGTTTTTGGCTGTTATGTTTTTCTTTTTGACTAATTTTTATCTGTTTTTATCTACTCAACCTTTTTTTAAATAACAATTTTAACTGCTTTAAGCAGCAGTTTTAGCATCAGCAGCAGCAGCAGTGTTAGCATCAGCAGCAGCAGTGTTAGCAGCAGCAGCAGCAGTGTTAGCAAAAAAAACTTTTAATTTCTCAGGTTCTCGGGCCACAAAAAACGGCTTGGCGGGCCACATTTGTGCCCCGGGCCTTGAGTTTGACACGCATGCTTTAGAACATCTTAGAGAACCGTGAAGCAGAACTTATTGAAGTGATTGACCTCAGTGTCGGCAGGAAGTGCCCCAGGTACTGAGGTGTGACGTGACCCACAGCTTGATCACACACAGTCATCAAACTACAGACTCTGATTCTACTCCTTCCTGGTGATGATGTCATCATCACATGACTAGACACACGTACAGTACTGTTTTGTGTAGTTGTCAGGTAACACGATTCATGTCTAATGACGGTGACACGGTGTGATGCATTCTGGGACTTTTTTTTAGATGATGATTTACTGTAGATCTGTGGTGGAGAGAATGAGTGTTAGTGTTAGTGTAGTTTCAACTTCTACAGGGTCTGAAGACTGATCACCAATATGACCCAGACCGGGCCACGCCCCTTATATCTCTACATTTTTATTTATTTATTTAAGGTTTGTTTATTTAAGGTGAGCAAATGCTGGGGCAAAAAGAAGGCTTATATTTTAATACTACTGAATATTAAAACGCCAACAGGGGGCGCCAATTTCCAGATTTTTTTAATCTGACTAAATATTCCAAACATCAGAGACATTATTATTCTGAATAAATAAATGAAGAAAAAATCATTTAAATGATGCAGAAAGTTTTATTTTATTTTTCAGAAACTGAAAATTCTTAAATCCTTTTCAAAGTTATTTTTCAAACTGCATTCAAATAACAAGTGTAGAACAAATGAACTGGAAGTAGAATTAGTATATACAGTATGTACACACAGTATAAACAGTGTCTGTAAAAAAAATAATAATAACAATAATAAACAACCGGTGTCTGAAAAAAAAACCTGTGGATAAAACTCTGGATAAAAAATGGTGAAAAAAGAAGTCGTCATCATCTTCCTTCCTCCTCCTCCTCCTCCTTCTGTCCAAGCCAAGTAGAGAAGAAAACACTGTCGTACAGACAGGAACAGGGAAGAACCTGCTTCTGTAACAGCTCATTGTTTTATTAACATGTAAAGCAGTCTTTGTCACAAATTAATTTTATGGTGAAGCCAGGAAATAGAATATTTTATATTTGAAATACATAATGAATTTTATATTATAAATAGGCCAAAAATGAACTTTTCAAATGTTCACTGTAAATTTATCAAAAGTTCAAATTGACTTGATTTAAATTGTGATGTTTTATAACATCCACTGACTCTTGTCTGTTATGTCTGTATCTTATTGACCTGTTTGATCCTCTGGTCTCCCAGACAGCTGCCCCCTGGTGGTTAACCTATACATCCTTCTCTGCTCTCAGATTTTTTTTTTTAGCAAATTTCCGTCCCTTTTGCTGCAATTTTTTTATGATTAACATGTTTTTTTAATAGAAAGAAATGTCTGCTCTCTGGGGGCGGAGCCTGTCACAGGTAACGGTTCTAAGTTGGAGTCAAGACCAACTTTTGAAAAAAATCCAGACACTATCTTCTGTGACCCACCAGTGGGCCACAACCTAAATGTTGTACCACTAAAAAGTCACAGTACTCCATGTTCAAATATACATGAATACATTCTACAGGATGTTGAGGTACACGCAGTATCTCGGTGTAGTTTTCAGAGTACACGTTCCTTTCTGATTCCTCCTTTGTTGAAATACGTCCACCTTTACAGTCCAACCAACCAGCGTCCATCGCCCGTCGCACACTCTCCTCAGATGACGTTGTTGCGTGACGGTTTGCTCTGATTGGCTGTGGAGCTGTCCACCACTGGAGGACTTCCCTTCATCAGGCAGGGGAAGTAGTTGGAGATGTAGAGAGCTTTGAACTTGGTGCTGCAGAAGCAGTAGATGAGAGGGTCCAGCAGACAGTCCATGTAGGACAGAACCATCAGGCCGTCGAACGCCAGCGTGGCCTTGTCCTGCACGTAGGCGCTGGACTCCTGCACACGCACGATCAGCAGGACCATGCGGGCCAGGGTGCAGGGCAGGAAGCAGAGGGAGAAGACCACCACGACGGTGGTGACCAGGAACACCGCCCTCCTCAGCTTGGTCTTGTCCCCGATGGTCTTCTTGCGGAGGCGGTTGATGATGCGCACGGTGCAGTAGATGAGGATGACGAAGGGGATGAGGATCTGCGTGAAGAAGACCACCTCCCTCAGACTGTCCACCAGGTCCTGGAGAAATCAGACACAGAGGAGGTCAAACCTCAGGGTCACGTACAGGATGACGAACCCGGCACCAGCCAACACACCATTAACTCAGAGGACGTTGATGGTCCTCACGGCCTGGTCACTAGTCAGGCTTTTCTTTTCAATCATTTTATACCCAGTGATATTTGCCCACAGTTGTGCATCTGCCCTCATCAGGGTTTTCAGTCGTCAGTTTAATGATTTTGGAATAAATTTACACTGGACTCTCCATTTGGAATTGAACCCTAGACCTTCTACATGGCAGGCTGGAGGCTGCTCCACTGTAGGACTGTAGTACATGGTGTATGAATGCTGTGGTCTGTTGAAGAGTTTCTACCAAACCGTAGTTACTTTAAAGTCACAGTACTTGTGTGTACACAGTACTGTTTACTCTCTTGTACTTGTGTTGATTTAAAGACTTGTAGAATTGTTTCCTGATTCCTTTGCGTGGCAAACACTGAAAAAAAAACAAACCACTCAGTGTCCAATTGAGAACATACTGGGAGACGGTCCCTTAAGAGTCTCGAGCCAAACAAGTAGGTCAAACTGGTCTTTGTAGTCGAAAATAAACTTTGACGTTCCCATCATCAAGACGGCTCTGGAGTCAGAAGAAACTCTTTGGACTCAAACGACACTTTGTTTCTCAACAGAACCGCTCCACAGCTAGAACACCTAATACTTTAATACTACAGTAATACTTCTATGTAATGAGGCTGCAGTTTGAAGTTGTCAGAGTCAGGGCCTGGTTTTTCTCTACGGGCTTTATCTCCAAGTACTTCTGTCTTGGTACTTTTACTCAGTGCGACCAGGAACTGATCTTTGTTTTTGGACTCGTCTGACACATGTCTACAGTTTATAACTTCAAATGACTCATGAGGATTAAAAAATACCTTTGTGTCCTTGACCACACGTTTCTTATATAAAGCCCTAGACTATAAACTATAACCTTTGAAGTACTTTTGAAGTAACATCAGTTTTTCCTTGGTAAATATCAACTCTGACGTTTCTGGACTGTGGTTGATTTTAAATACGATTGGTATATTTATATCAGATTAGGATTGTTGCCAGCTTTGGTGTCTGAATCTGATTGGTCGTTGAGGACAGCGGTTTGATTCCTGTTCTGACAGGTCTTCATTCAGACGTCATGCAGAGATCTGAATCCAATCCAATCTGACACGGGGAGTGAGGCTGCCTGAAGGGGTCGCTATTTCCTCTTGGACCAAACAAAGATTAAGGAGCAGTCAATCAAATATCATTTCTCCTGATCCTGGAATCTGAAGTACGTGGAGAAAACACACTGGTGCTCATGAACGTGCTGGAACTTGTTGATTCCAGGAACTCAGTGGCTCGGTCAGAGGTGGGTCGAACATGGCTAACAATGCTAACAATGCTAACAATGCTACACCCTCGTGCATGTGTGTTGTTGACACACACCAGCTTCGACATGTCTCCACCTATAGAACGGCTGCTACAGAATTAGCTGCGGACACCAGCGCCTGTCTGAACACCACCCCGCTGGGTGTGGGCGTGGCCTGTTGGTCTCGGCACATCCACCAGGACCAGGACGCGGTTCTCAGACTAGGATCTGATGTATAGTGTTGGCGTCAGGCGTGGTTATTTACTCATGTAATTTGGATGTATGTAAACATGTCATTCAGTTTCTGTCCAGCAGGTGGAACTGTTGATGGAGCTGTTTTGCTTCAGTCAGTGGTTTAAATGCAGCTCTATTATTTAATCCTAATCTAATCCTGTGTCGTCAGCAAAACTATTTCTGCGGTAACAAACACTGATCCACGACCTATTTATAGAACAGAGCTCCACTGTTCCATACAGCCGTACACCTCCAACAACGGCCGACCACATTAAAACACAAACCACCATTTTGAAAACTTTACACCAATATTTTGTGAATTTACAAAAGTAAATCTCAAAATAAGTGACGCAGAGCTTGGATTTTTCTTTTGACTTAACAGTCGCATTACTGCCACCTGTTGGTCCTACCTTTTACTACTGCATGCTGCTAAGACGTTTAGCCATAACAGGTTATGGTAATGGTTTGGTATGAGATTCTGCAACATTTGTGTGTGTGTGTGTGTGTGTGTTAGAGTGTGTGTGTGAGAGAGAGTGTGTGTGAGCTGGAATGTCATGAACTCTCATTCCTCTGTAGCAGCCTGGATTCTCGTCTCCTTAAATCACATTAATTCTTTACATTAATAACTGTTTTTATTGCCGTCTGGTTGCATTCTCGTCTCCTTAAATCACATTAATTCAACTGTTTTTATTGCCGTCTGGTTGCCGAGGCGACCGAGAAGGTTTTTCTTGGACAAAAACTATCTGTGTGAATCGGTCAAAATAGTTTGGTGAGTTTTGTTTCAACAGTGGCCTGGATATCTGCTCAATCAGCAACATGTTGCCACATGATCACAGCAGAACCAATCCCAGCTGAAGGAACCTCGACCCACAGGGAAGTCGGTCCCGAGCAGCTGAAGAGGAGTTCTGGAGTTTGTTCTGTTCCTCACCGAGACAGAACCACCTTATCAGAATCTCACTCTGGGTCTTCGTGGGCTTTACCTTTATCAGGGTGGCGTCTTCCTCATTCCTGTGGCTGTTGCAGCACTCGAAGGTCTTGAGCATGGTGGGGATGGTGAGGGGGAGGAGCAGCAGCCAGATGATGATGGAGATCTGAGGAGACTTCTTCAGCACCCTCAGGAGGTTCTTCTTGCCCGGGTGGACCACGTTAAAGTATCGGTCGATGGACGTGACGGTGAGGAAGGCGATGCTAGCTCCGCGGTTGAGGAACAGCATGAAGAGCATGGCTTTGCAGACCACGTCGTTGCCGCTCCTCCTCTCGCCCTGGATGAAGTTGTGGGCCTTGATGGGCATGCAGAAGAGCAGCAGGATGTCGGCCAGCACCAGGTTGAACAGGAAGATGTTGTTGGTGTTGGACTTCCAGAACTTCAGCTTGAATATGAAGAGGTGCAGGACGGAGGCGTTGAGGGGCAGGGCCAGGACGAAGATCAGGATCATCACGGCGGCGTAGAAGTGGTACAGAGTCCTGTGAGTGACCAGGCAGTCCTCGATCTTCTGCAAAGTGTTGTTGATCATTTTCAAACGGCTGAAACTCTTTCCTCAGACTCAGCACTGATGAGGAAATCACTCCACACTCTGAGGAGAAAAGAAAAGAAAACCAAAGCCTGACAAACCAGTTCCCTCAGTTTTAGTCCTTTCACCGGTTCTCACTCCCTCAGAAACACAGTCTCTCTGTCTTTACAGTCCACTCAGGGTCAGTAATCCTGTCAGTGTGCAGAGTGGGACAGAAATCACTCAGCTTCGTACTTCTGGCTCCTCCTCGCTGCCTGAGGAGTTGAGTCACAGCTGCTCTTCCAGCCTGGGACCAATGAGGATCAGACCAGAGCTGAGACGCAGCCTGTCAGTCTTCACATGCAAATGAGCAGAAAGTGTTCAGTGAAGGAGAAACTTCACACTAACCCTACAGTTCAACAAATGAACGTTGGCTGGAGATCTGCTGAAACCAGATAGATATGAAGGAAAGCTCGTCCAAGTATAAAGTACAAAATTCAATTATTTATATTAAAATATATATATAAAAAAAATCTCATATATTCCAGGAGTGAAGTCTTTCTGTGGGTTTGTTTTGGCTAACCTTTATCATGTTTCAGACAAACCTGGATTCCAAAAAGTAGTTTCTGGACAAAAGTTGATGAATTTTGATAAATTGTTTCGTCGACGTTGTTGTTTCTGAGGTTGTTGTTCGACTGACTTTTCATTAGTAAAAACTCAAATCTATACACTGTCACTGACACCACTGTCCCATGAGCCTCCTGTGAACCATGTGGTCTCACTGGTCTGTCCAGACATCTGGTACTTCCTGTCACAAACTATAGAATGAACCGCGGCCGTCGCTCCGAGGCTTTTCACTGTCGTATTCCAGGCGCTGTCACTACGACCACTGTGTGATGGTTCTGGTGAGCAGCAGCTCTGTGAGGTTCAGCTCTGTGAGGTTCAGCTCTGTGAGGTTCAGATCTATGATCTCCTCACAGACGTGCTGGTGAGCAGCAGCTCTGTGAGGTTCAGCTCTGTGAGGTTCAGCTCTGGGGAGTGGACGTTGACAGATTTACGTTGGACTTCGCCGATGTCTTCTACTATGTAAGGACAAGTCCCATAAGTGAGTGTGGAATGTTGAGTCCTGAGGGAGGTGGCCTGTAGAGGGGGCTGCAGCTGAAGCCCCCAGGCCCCAGGGCCTCAGATTTAACCCCGTCTTCCTCTGGCGGCTGCAGTGAACCACAAACAAGTCCAGACGAAACATTCAGACTTTTTGTTTCCCAAACTATTTCCAGTGTAGAGACGAGGACGTGACCCCGGTCCACGTGGAGTTAACGATTCACTTTACGAAGATCGGGTCTGTCCCAGTTAGCCCAGTTAGCCTAGTTAGCCCAGTTAGCCTAGTTAGCCTAGTTAGCTTTTTGTTTATTTTTAGCTGTCGTCCGGGAGTTTGGAGCTTATCTTCAGAAAACCATTGTTAGAAACTGGTAAATGTTCTGTTGTCTTGGTTCTGTTGTCTTGGTTCTGTTGTCTTGGTTCTGTTGTCTTGGTTCTGTTGTCTTGGTTCTATTGTGTTGGTTCTGTTCTGCAATGGAATTCTTTCTCTGACCTCATGGAAAAATTGAAATGATTTCTTTTCAGAGAAAATAAAATGTAACTAATTTCCACAACATATCGTTGTCTGAAATGGAAAAGTACTGTGAACAGGATGTGATGTCACTTCTCTTCCCCGGTCACAGATATTGGTTTTCTGTTTTACACAACTTTGATGAAATCAGTCGTTTCTCAGACTTGACCTTATCAGGTGACAACCCCCCCCCCCACCCCTCACCCCTCACCCCCGTCAGCCTTGGTAACTGCTTTGTTTTTCTACATTTATTAGCAGTAACATTTAGGAACACATCATAATTATTCATGGTCAAAATATGTAACTTTTTTAGGAAGCATTTCCAGAATGAAGTAAACGTTTTACATCACAATTAGTCACATGGTCACCATGGTGGTGAAAAAAAACTCATTATACAGATCTGTTCCAGGATCTGTTCCAGGATCTGTTCCAGGATCTGTTCCAGGATCTGTTCCAGGATCTGAAGTCCTTCTTGGACCATCTTTTCTCTTCTTCCATCGACTTCCTGTCTTTGTCTTTTGACCTGAACTGAATGAACACTCCTAACTGTTAAATTTAACAGCCCCCCCCGCCCCCTCCACCCATTCTATGTAACACCTGATCTTCTGATAAAGACTCTGGTTTTATTGGTCTTTAAAGAGTTTAACGACAGCACAGTCAACTTGAACTCTGACCTGACGACGATGAGTCAGTCACTGTATTTTCCCAGAACTTTCTGGTGACCGCTCACCTGTCACCAATCACTGACTACCAGTCACTTTGCAGTAACTCTTCGACCAGTCATTTCATGTTCTGTGGGTTCTTCCCACATGACTCAGCGATTGTGTCAGTGTTTCAAAGGTTCCAATTCATTTTCCATTGAAGTGGATGAAGGTTGACTCAGAGGTGACACGGAGCGATGACACAGGTGGAGGTCAGGACTGGGATGGAGCCCCTGAGGTGACCAACGTCACGTAGACCACAGGTTAATGGACAGGAGACAGTGGTGGTCTGTGTGGACATGTATCACATGACCAGTATCACATGACCAACCCAGTATGATGGTTCATTTTTCTCTGGAACCCTGCACTAAATGAAACAGGGCCCTGTGTCCATTTATGGACTCCAGGACGGCAGCGTGAAGCCTTCAAACCACTGACCTTTCAAACTGTCAGGCACAGTCAGGAGTTTGGCCTCAGTTTGTCTGAGCTGCTGCAGTAGAAGTCCAACAAAGACTGAGGACTTGTCCAGACTGGTGGACTCCTCAGAGCCTGTGTGAGCCACAGTCAAACTGAAGGAAATGAGGGGAAAGTTCAGCCTGGACCCTCCGCCCTTCATGGACTACCGTCTGGTGTCACCACGTCTGTGTACTGTACGGCTGGACGTGTCCACGTCCCGCTGCTGCCCCTCGGCTCTCCACCAATCAGGAAGTAGTTGTTGGTTTATGGAGAGCGGACGACCACGTCCAGACCTTGAACAACTTCATCTCCAACACCTTCTCTTCCCATGCATTCCAGGACGACAAGCCGAGCGACGGGAGCAGGAAGATAAACCAGACTTCCTGTCCGTCCTGTTTGTTATGAATCCCAGATTCTGGGGACGTGGACCGGTGATGTGGTCCAAACTGGACTGGACTGAAACTCACCTCAGTCTGGAGTCAGAACCAGGTCCAGGTTTGACCTTTGTTCAGTTTTCTTTGGCAAAACGTTGCTTTGACCTTTGTTCAGTTTTCTTTGGCAAAATGTCTCTGCATGAGACGGCGTTGCTTCACACTGGCGTCCCATGACATCACAGTGTTGCACAACAGCCATTGGATTGCAGCGCAGAGGCCGGGGGGGGGGGGGGGGGGGGCATTGTGTGGCATTGACCAACTATACTACAGTTAATTGACCTTTGACTCCTTGAAAAAGGTGTGTCACCACGACGACTCCACACAGACTTGATCACTGGGTGAAAAATCTGTCTGAAATCACTGACTCGACAGTGGATGAAAAACCTGCAGAGCTGGTACTGCCAGTCTACACACACACACACACACACACACACACACATGCACAGTCACGTAGACAAAAACAAAAGATTAACTCTTCAGTTCAAACATCTGCTGAGCTCAGATCAAGATATTTTCAGACCTAAGTTTAAAGGAACAACTTAACAACGGCTCAGAATAACTCAGACTGTTTCACTCGTCCTAACTTTGGGATGTTTTTGAATATCTGTGTGTGTGTGTGTGTGTGTGTGTGTGTGTACCCATTTCCTGGTCCATGTCTGAGGTCTACTGTTCTGGACCCCAGACTCTGTCACCAGCATGAAAACCAACTTTTTTTTTTTGTCACCAGTACTAGGTTCCCAGAACTGTTGAAGTGTTTGTCCCGTGGAGTGACGGGAACCGTTAGCCTGAAGCTGCTTCCTTCTAGAAAAGATCGTGGACGGTTGAGATGTAGAAATGTCCCAGAGACGCGGTGGTGTAATTCTGTACAAATACTTACAAACGTTTGAGTAAACATGAGTCACACACACACACACGTGTTTGTGTGTTTATGTTTCTTCCTGAGGACCTGGTCTGGTAAGACCCTGGCTCTTCCAGAACCTGAGGTCCGTCACAGGAGAGTAAACCTGGTCCAGGTCCAGGTCCAGGTCCCTTTTGGGGGAAAAAAAGTACAACTAGAAGGAACATGACAGAATGTTCTGTTCCTCTTTGGCTTCTTGCAAAAGCTGAGAGGAAACTCCACAGTGTCATCTACTGGTCAGTCTATGTATTGCACCAGTATCAATGAAAAGAGAAAATTATTCTCTCAGGAAAAAAAAAGTAACAGCAGAGTGAGCTTCATGCATTTTCCATCAATCTACTGAATAACAAAAATAATGGGAATATTTAAATATGACAGAAAATCGGAAATGAAGTAATATTTTATTGGAATAACTCTTTACATTTCTATAAATGTTTGGAAAATACCAGATGGATCTTATTTAGTTTAACAAAACAAAACAGAAAACTCTTTAAAATCAAGGTAAAACGAGAGAAAATAGACGCCAATAAATGGATATATGCTGCCCTCTACTGGACATATATCATGTTTCCACTAGGAAAAGGAGTTAAAACAGCTCAGACTCGTTGTTAGAAATGACAGTGAACATCAGTAACCAGATTATTGAACGGACTCTTGACTTCACCACTGTGTTAAACACTGTTTTTTACTCCGTGTGAAAAAAAGTCACCTGTAAAGAAGTGACGTTTCTCCAGCGCCTCCTGTTCACGTCTTGAAGGACACAGTCAGTCAGGTGTGTAATTCACCACTAAGTGGTTTTTAAGCACCTGGGCAATAATTGATGAGCTGAGACAAAAGCCGGTGTCGGAGCTCCGTCTGACCTCATTACGTCTTCATGTGGCGCAAGTGGATACGAGTCCACCGTCCAGGCCTGAGGATGGACGCACACGTCCATTTGGACCTTATTTATATATACTGTATATATATATATATATATGAGGCAGTACTGTGCAGAAGTTTTAGGCAGGTATACACATGTACTACAGTATCTCTGTACTTTTTCATGGCGTTTTTTTCCCGTGGTTTGAAGTTGTTGAGAAGAATCAGAGGTCATTATCAAACTGCAGAAGGCGTGGCTCTTTTTAGATAGAACAAAGTCTGGGTTGCGGACCACAGGGTGGGCCGTGGGTCCACTGTTTTGCCCTGTGGGGTTTCCAGCTTTCTGGTTCTGTTCGGACAGAGCCAATCTTTATATCAAAAAAGTGATTTATTTTGAATAATTCATTTGTCAATTTTGATTTTGTTCTAATCACTGTTTTCTTTTCTTTTTAACGAAGGTCCTGACCAGAGACACGGTGACCAGGACCAGATCTTGTTTCCGGACTAGACATAAGTTTTTGGCACCAACACCGTCGTCCAACTTTCCCTGAGACATCAGAATAAATGTTTGAATAAATCCCGGCTCCCAGGCCAGACAGAGCGACTGGAGAACCGGTGCCATCATCAATAAACCATCAGTACCGATATGAAACTGAGGACTGTGACATCATCGATCTGTGAAGGTGACTCTTTAATATTTCAACACAACATAAAGTATTAATAAATGTCACTCAAACACAGGTTTTAAATCAAGAAAGAATGAAAATTATTTTAAGAAATTTTAAGAAAAAAATTCTTAGTGGCACAAGTTTTGTTAATCTATAAAATTATTTGTAAAACAAATGTACTAAATGTACTAAAACATTTTTTTATTTTTCCAACATTTCATCAAAACCGTATGAGGAACCAGTTGATCAGGATAACCTTCATGTGACCTCTGAGCTGGTCTCAGATCAGTTCACCTGGTGTCTCAAACACTGACTGATGAATGGAGGATCCTTCAGGCCCCAGAACAGGGACTCAAACTTTTCTCCACCCTCTGATTTCTTCTTCAGCTCTTCCTCAGTTCTCCGGCTGCTCGTCTTCTCCGACTGACCCGGGACCAGCTGATTGGTCAGCCTCTGAAGCTCCTGGAGAACCTTCTTAACATCCAGTGTGTGCTGCGAGGCCTTTCGAGTGGCTCTGTTGAACGGGAACGTCCGTATGAAGTCTCCGACTCTGACCGGAGGAACGTGTTGTTCCCTCAGTCCCGTGGTTCTGTCTGAAGGAGCCTCGGTCTCCATACTGCTGTAAATCAAGGACAAAGTTGGTTTTATATTTTGTGACTTCAACACCCTCCACGACCTGTGACTAAATCTGTAACCTACAGGTCGTACCTGTTGATCCTGGGAAGCTTCCAGGTCAGACGGGAGGGTTCGAATCCCGGCCTCCTCCTCTGTTGGAGATCAGGTGTCCTGTAGGAAATGTCTGTGTCTCCTGAGATCTTCAGCGCCGCTCCAGTTTCACAGGTGTCATGATGTGTAACCTCAGACCTGTGACGACACCTGTCGCCCCTCAGCCACGGAGCCAGACCTGCCCCACCGTGGCTGTTAACTGCCGACACGTTTGACCTTGAACCGGGGCCCGGTATCAGGTTCAGGGTCTTGTCTGGTTGAGTTCTGGAGGATGAGGATGTCACAACGTTGTGGGTTCTGTTTAAGTCAACAGGGGGCAGCAGACGTGGTCGAGGAAGTGGTCCAGGTCCCAGACGCTGGTCTGTTCCTGTCATCTTCTGACATTTGGTGCCTGGATATTTTGAAAGGATCGGTACTGAAGCCCCGGGACGTCGGTACTGTCGGTTCTGATAGGCTCTCTGTCGTAAACTGTCCGATGCGGAGTAGTTCATCAAATCAATCAGATCGCTAACGAGTGCTTTCTTCACCACGAAGTCGGCCTGACAGTCCAAGGTCAACGCAGGACTGTAGTTGACCTCCAGCAGCCACGGTTTGAACCTACCATCAATCAGGACATCAAAACCAAACAGCTCCACACAGTTGGCACACAAGGGGACAGAGGGGGCGATGGTGAGCAGCGTCAGAGTCACAATGTTGTTGATTCTCTGCCACAGAAGAAGCTCGTTCACGTCCTGACTCTGGAGGAAGTGCCTGAACCTGTTCATGGTCCACTTACACCCTGGTCCCACCCGCTCCTTGTAGGCCGTGTAGAAGGGGCCCAGTTTGTTGATGCTGGTGTTGGTGAGGTGAGCGTACAGGTTCCGCAGAGACGACAGGTCGTACTTCTCGGTGGCAAAACGCACCAAACCCTCCTGGTGGATGTAGACCGTCAGCGGGTGGAAGCTCTTCACACACACGTAGATCCTCAGGTCGAACTTGTAGCCCGAGACCAGCAGAGGGTCGCTGATGTACCTCTGCAGGATGACGGGACCGTCGTAGACCAGGTCCTTCAGGTCCTGGAAGATGAAGATCCCTCGTCCTCTGGACAGATCCACGGGTTTACATATCCAGTAGGCCGACCGTTCTCTGCTCAGGTGCAGGTTCTCGTGTTCTGCCAGAAAGCGGGTGTAGTCGTTGGGGAGGATGAAGGCGGTTGGACTGAAGTCGTAGAGAGAAGATCCGCACGTGGCTCTCATTCGCCTCAAGTTTCGAACCAGGAAGTCCTTCAGGGACAAGAAGCAGGAGTTCAAATGAGCCTCATGTCAAACAAACATCTGAGAGAACACAAGAGCAAACACAAGAACCCAGGACTGAACCTCACGACCTGGTCGTGACAGTCTGGAGGTTCTGACGTCCACATCAGGGTCTGACTGACGTCACCTTGCGTGTGATGCCAACAGTTTTGGGATGGTGGTTGAGGCGTTGCCACGGCAGCAGGTTACGATATTCTAAGCTGCTGAACGTGGAACCACGCCAGTACAGGTTCCAGTCCTGATCCTCATGGTCCTGGCTGTCGTACTCCTCCCACCCTCGCTCCAGGAGAACCTCCCGGACCAGCTCTGGGCCTCGGTCGTGGAGTCTGAAGACCAAGGCCGCGGCCATGTGGCGTCTGGACGCAGCAGACAGAGGAGGTGATGACGATCCCGGATGGACAACCATCAGTGACCAACAGGGGGAGCTGAAGATTAAAATGGACTTTTGTAATGAACAGGAAAATTAAAAAAGTTTTTGTTCAGTAGAACAGAGTAGAAGACAAATATTTAATTCTAAAGTCTGACTCCTCCTGAACACTGGAGAGTTTTACCTTCTCCTCACGGTCCAGTCAGAGTTTCTGTTCCTCAGCTCCTCTCTCTCTCTCTCTCTCTCTCTCTCTCTCTCTACTGTTGTGTTGACCGTCAGCTGGTTTCCTTGGCTCCTCCTACTGACCAAACCTGAACACACACACACGTGTGTCTGTGCCAGCCTGATTGTTCTCCACTAAAGGAATGTATGCCTTGGATTTAAGGTGCGTATACACACACACACACACACACACACCCACAGATCGTGTTTTCTAGTTTAAAATTCTGTTCTTTAAATGTTATTCATCAGTGGTCAGTCAGATGGAGGTGGAGTCGATGGTCGTGTGTGTTTGAAATGAAACAATCCACAGGTTTGTCTTTCACTTTTATTAAATCACAGAAGGGG